TTCCTGCTAACATCTGCTTTGTGGTTTGTGTGTTTTTTAATAACTTGTCATTTTGCACAGACAAAGCTAGTCCTAATTCTGTCTCTGAAATTACTACTGAAATCTTCTGATACATTGAGTTTAGGTACAGTTGTCACACGGGACTTTTGGCTATTTCAACTGGAACTTGGATGGAAGTCCAGAGATTTGTATCAGGCTGGGCACAGTTTTTAGAGGATGTGCCATATATACCACTTGTTTAGTTACTAGCCTTTGCTCAGTGAATCAGGCAATAAAATGTTTAATATTAATAATGTATGATTTTTAAACAAACATGATTGTGTAGTCTATTTAATTTCTTTTGTTTCACATCCCAGTCAACAAAAATTAGAAAAAAATACATTATATGCATGGGGAATGAAGCTAGAACAGACTAGTAAAATGACGGGGTATTTCAGTATGCAAATTTTAAGGGGTGAACAGTAACTCTTATCTCTCATCAAAGTCAGCAATTCCAGTTTACTTTTGAATATGTAAAAACTTGAATTAGAGCTGGCAAAGTGCGACCATAAATAATTGCAAGGGGATATTAAGCTAGTTTTTTTTAAGGGAAAAAAAAAAGCAGAGTGTGAGTGACTTGAGCAGCTGAACATAATGTTCTAAATGGCTTTTACATTAAAAATCCTAATACTGGCATTCACAGGCATAATGTGTTGAGGGATGAACACATTACATTGGTGTATTCTTTTTTATATACAGCAGATTTCAGTGTATTATTGTCTTACTTAAAGAACATCACATGCAGAAATACAGACTTGTACTATATGACTTGTCGTATGATCAAAGTTGAAGTCCACATCATGAAGCATGCTCCATATTATAAGATACTAGATCTTGGCTTGAAGTGCTGTGGTGAGCTCTTGTCACTATGGAGCTGGACTGAGTAGACGAGATGGAATAGTTGAGGCTAAGGGGCAACTTACTGGCTTGGCTAGAGGTGGCTTTAGTTCCCAGTTTTGGCAAAGATAGAGGCTAAAATTAGATCAGACTCATGAACACACGTAGATGTTTGGTCAGTTCGTGGGCTACTCTCAGGATAATGCTTTGTGTCTTGTTTAGGATCTAGAACTGAAATCAGGATAATGGCCCCAAGTTTTAATTAAAAATGGGGTTGGTTATAACTTGTCATCATCCTGAGATGTTCTGCTGTTATGATAATTGGGCCACATAAATGAATCAGTTTGAATGACTTGCTGGCCACTCCTGGACAGTACCTTGTAATGTAATGCATCTGTGGTAGGGTTGGGACCAAAACCTTTCTTGGGGCCATACCAACATTGCACTAGTTTGCAAGATTTCGCAGAGCAATGCTGTCAGGAAGTCCTAGTGCCAAGGGAATGGAAGAGCCCCGGCCTGTGGGAAATATTCCCAAATTCACCTGGCATGTAGGTTGTCTCCCTTTCATTTGCTAGCTGAATAAAAAACCTCCTTGAACTCTCTGCAGCTCTGTGTGTTTGGCTTTACAATGGAGTTGCTCCAGCCACTGCTTGTCCTCTGCATTTATCTTACAGGAGTGTTTAGTCTTGAACACAAGCCTTTCTTCCATTTCTGAGACTGGGTTGGGCCTAGTAAAATTGGCTGGTTGTAAATGTGAAAAGGAGCAAATGCCTCTGACCATATAGGTTATCAGCAGTACAGGCTGCCTCCTGCAAGAGGAGTACTTCTAGGTCCACAGAAAATCAGAGTTCAAGTGTTGGAAACATTTTTCCTCCACCTGTCATTCACAGTCTGGCTGATTTTTTTTATAACATCATTTTCCTTGCACAGTGAGGAGACTGCTACTTAATGTGACTATAAAAGCATTTATTCCTTTTAATAACAGAGCATGAGAAATAGTGAAACTACCCTTAGTCAACCTACTTCATGCTGATTGTACGTTTCTTGAAGTTCAAAGATGCTGAAATAAAAGGCAGGAAGCCAGTTTTTTCTCATTGACAGTATTTTTTTTCAGAAGTAAGACCAAACCGAAACCCAACCAAAACTATTAATTTTTTTAAGTCTTACAGGATAAGGAAAGATTACTTGTCTGAAAGGCACAACACTTGTGTTTGCAGAACACTTTTATTCCAGCCATTTTCGTCTACGCACATAATTTCCCATGACTAGTACAATGCTTTACCTTTGCTTCTCCTGGATGCCTTTCTGGATCTCTCTGTGGGAAGATTTGAATCTCATACACGATTTAGAAGTTTTGAGTGTTGCTCTGGTATCTTGGAGAGTTGAATTTGACCTACAGAGTATGAGGTACTTAGAGGAAAGACGCTAGGTTAGAATTAATAATCAACTACATCATCTCATTGTGAAAGTGCTTAACATAATTGTAATTGATGGTGCTGTTGGAGTAGATGAACTTATAGATACAAAAGTCATATGTCATGACAGAAAAAACTGTGATTATGCAATGTACTATTGGATTGTTGCCATAAAGCAAAACCAGTTGGATAGTGCCTGATAAAATGTCATTTTAGGCCGTTGTAACTATTATTTTTTAAATCAATGATTGCTTATGAAGGGCGCCATTCAGCGCTCGTTTGTCCCCACTGTCCCAATGCAGTGACAGGGATTTGTAGTTTCAGTATTTGTTGGGCAGAGGTCAAATAAAATGTCCCGTAAAGATTCCATTAAAATCCTGAAAGAAATACCCACTCACCATGGGAATGTCATGTCCAAGTACAAAGGTGAAAAAGGAAAGAAACTGAAGGTGAAAAAACTTCCCTAAACTTGCCTGCTCTTCCGTGAGTAAATCCACGTACAGTTTTTTTTCTGTGCAGTTTTAGGCTTTCATTGAGCAAAAAGAGTCTGTGAAATGTGTTAGAATGCATGCTATATTGCAAATAAAATACTGATCAGAAATAACACACATGCTGCCTGGAAATACAAAATAAATTAATTCAAAGGCTGTATATATACATGGTTTTAGAGGTAGCTGGTGTAAAGTATTTTGTACTATGGAAACTGATGTAGAGAAACCTGAGACAGAGCACTTTCTTTGCTTTAATGTATATTAACTGTTTTTTCAGGAGAGCTTTAACGAGAGCATAGTGTTTCTCCCTAAAAGTATAATGTGCTTTAAAGCACAACCATCTGATAGCAAAAATATTGACTAGGCTGAATCACCCTCACTCATTTCACCCACTGTGGGTGAGGAAGAAGATTCAATGGTTCTTTCTGTTAATGTACCCAGGTACAGCGAGGGGAAGATGGTATTCCCTGGAGACAGGCTTTGTAAGGTGCGCATTATTTTCCATGTTACCCATAAGCAGAATTAGTGTGATGAGGTTCACCAATTCCTGCTTTTTCAGTCCAGAATAAATCACTCCAATTTCTAGCTTGACCATCTCTATAAAACAAATTTTACCTTTTGAGTCACCTGAGGCAAGGTTTCTGTTTACAGTCCCAGACAATATTGACATAGTATCATAAGCACGACTCCTCCAAGTAGCAGTCACTGCACACTACCTTGAATAACTACCTTGAATGTTATCAGTTGTTGTTGTTATTTTCATATCTTGTGTTCTTTAGACCCATGGGTACATTACTTCAAACCTTAATGAAATTCTGCAGGACACTGTAAGCAGCACTGGAGGTTCTTAGCATCAGGACATATTATATTTTTGATATGCCTTTCTCTTGACCACAGGGCTAAATGCTAAATCACAAAATTAAACTTGTTCTGTACATTCATTGTCTTCTTCAGGGGTGTGGCTTTCAACAGCAAATAGATCTATGAAAATATAATTGATGCTACTATTCTGGGAAACTCTCCATCTTTATATTTTACTTCACAGTTTGCAAAAACACGCATCCACCTCCTCCTGCAGAACTCAAAAATGCTTTATTTTAAGCCAGTAACATTCCTTTCTATTTTCTCATCCTCAGTATTATGTTCATCCTGCATGTGATACTTTGCTGAACTATTTGCTGTTTACTTTGAATCCTTGTGCTTTGAATATTTCTGTAAGTATAGATCTGCACTTACCTAGGCAGCTGAATTCCTGGTGAGTGACCCTCAGTCTATATTGGTTTATGCTTTCCTTCTAGAGCCTGTGCCAGCCCACAGAGACTGGCAGAATGACATGGACAGCAGCCCACAAGAACATCACTCCCTAGGGACCAGTCGACTGCTGTATCACATTACAGATGGAGACAATCCTCTTGTGTCACCACGCTGTTCTATCTTTAGCCAAAGCCAGAGATTTAATCTAGACACAGAGTCTGCCCCTTCTCCACCAAGTGCTCAACCTTTCATGATGTAAGAAAATATATTTTAATTCTTATATATTTCAAATAATTTTTGTGCAATCCACGCCATTTGACTCCTCATGTTTTTTCAGTTACGGTTATGTCATAAACAAGAAATTTTCGTGTTGTAGCATATTTTGACATGGTTAATTTGCAATACCAGAAATATGATCTAGTGTTTTTTCAGTCATAGTGGAGTACACCATTCTTTGAAGTCTTTGTTAATTATAGTTAGCAAGGACAGTTTTAAATGTTAGTTAGTAATTAGTCTGATGAGTGAACATAAGATAGAGAGGGCTGTCAGGGTATAATACTAAAAATTTCAGCTGTAATAGAACTATAGCTTGAATCATTCACTAGATATGAGAGTGTCACAGAACATATGAAGTCCATATATGTGACCTCCAGAAACCAAGCTGTGAGTTTCAGACAGAAATCAAACTTTCTTATGTATATAGCTGTCAGCTGCATATGAATAATAATCGCATCTATTGATCTGCAAATGTAAAAAAATCAGGAACTAAACTGCCTTCAAAATGATGATTATTCAAGGTAGTAAGTAACTCCCTGAGCTTACTCTTACAAGTCATGTTGCTGCAGTCTCCCATTACAGCTGAAAGATTTGTGAAGTAAGATGTGGGTGCTAAATGTAAACATTGGATCAGGTTGTGACCTACTAGATTAAACTTTTGAAAAATATTCAGAAATCCCACAATTAATTGAAAAGAAAGAGTGAAAGACAGAAGGTGAATTCATTAGTATACCCTAGGGGCACTTCAAGCAAAAGCAATTATTTTACGCTTACTTTGTAAAACTAAACTGTCTCTGTCCTGTGAAAGAACCTAGCTGCAAATGCTGAAGTGCTAGGAAAGCATTAAGTGTGCCTGAAATAAGGCATGGTCCGTTATAGCCGGTTCTTTGATCCAGCTACTATGCTTTTGGCTTTTGCAGGCCAAGAAGTTCTTCTAGATGTAACTGTGAAGAGTGCAAAGAACCACAAACAGTAGCACAACTTACCAAGCATCTTCAGAGTCTCAAGAGAAAAATTAGGAAGTATGAAGAAAAGTTTGAGCAAGAAAAAAAATACCTGGTAAGATAAATTGAAAAGATAAGGTGAAATACTGCAAGAGGCAGGCAAGAATCCTAATGTGTTTAAACTTATGCAAAACAATGGGAGAAAGGGTGTTTTTGGTAAAAGATGAAATAGGAAAATCATCAATGGAGGAATATCTTTTTATCATCTTTCAGTGTATGCAGTAGTTCTGAGACTCTAATTTACATTTTCTTTGGAATACCTTTGTTGCAAAATATCCATCTTCTAGATGTGTGAGAAGCATGGATCAGTGAAACATGATCAGTGAAACATGACAGGCTTGTGAACCAAAATGATTCAAAAGGTGAAAACTACTTATTTACTTTGTAGAAGTCATTTGCTTGGAAACATGTTCTGCTGTGCAGATTCCGCCACTCAGGCAGACTCCTGTGAACTTCCAAAGCACAGGGCTCAATAGAAGCTGATGGCAGAAATTAGAGAAACAAAAATTGTGAGGGGGATGTTTGAGGTCAGTGGCATGCTCTATGCAGTGTGCAAGATCATTGCTCCTATCGAGCTAGTTTGTGTAATGTGAATTGTGCAGTATAAATATATCAAAACATCCATGATGCTAAGGATGTATACAAAATGAAACAGGGAAGTTTGTGTTATTTTATGTCTATATTACAGTGAAAATAAAGCAAATTGTGTATTACCTTGTAATCTCATCAATGACTGCAAACTGAAATGTGCATTTGTGAATTGTACTGTCCTATGGCCATCATATACTCTCTGGAGTAAAACTTCATACCTAGACAGTCATGGCAGTGTGACCAGAAAATAAATTGTTTCAGAGGTTTAATTTTGCAAAATCGTTCTGCTATTTTAAATATCTGAGTTTTGAAGATCCAGTGCAAATTGCTCTTAATTTGGAGGCATTTCTAAATGGAAAGAAAGAACTGATATACAAAGCTTTTGTTGTTTGTTGCTTTTGAAATCACTCTGTTGCACATGATTTTTTCATTTGATTGATTAAGCAGTTCAGTCGAAAATGTAAAATGCTGTTTCCCAAGAGAATCCCTGTCTTAAGCAGTAAGGGCTTATCCCTACAAGGGACAGAGTGCTTCAGTTACCATCCTGGAAATCAGTTAGGAAGTTGACTAACATCAGGTATTTGATCAGTCCTTTTGAAGTCACTGAGATTACTTACCCAATTAGTCAGGGACTTAAATGGGTTTTTTTTTAGGATCAGAGCCAAAATACTCAGATCCATGTAGCACTGTGCCACAATGGGGAGAGGTAAATCATGATAAATCAGTACCATGATTGAGCCAAATACTACGATACAATGCAGTTAGAACTATGGACATTTTTTAGGACACTGTGTGTGGATAGGCTTTTATCCATTTGTGTAATCATCAATTCCTTTTGTTTTATTCTTCCTTTTTTCTTTCATTCAGCCTTCACATGGTGACAAGACTTCCAATCCTGAAGTTCTGAAATGGATGAATGATTTGGCCAAAGGTCGTAGGCAGCTCAAAGGTACATAATAGCATGTTGGTTCATTTTATTGCTGAAGCTTTTGGAAGTGTGAGTGTACCTGAAATATTTTAGTGTTAGTTTTCTGACCTCAGTGCTCTGAGGCAATAAGTCTCCCAATGACAACAAAGATACTAGGTGATATGATTTGCCTTGGTTCCTGAAAGCAGGGATTAAAGTAAGCCAGTTCAACCCTCCTAACAAGGCTAAAAAGGGGAAGGAAAAAAAGATGTCATCTCTCCCTCATCACTATTAACGTTCATGAAAAAGGCAATGTAATTCTGAATGCTTTTATGAGTGTCTGAAATACAGAACTACAAAGTTAAAAGTGTCCTTGTAATAGTACAAATGTAGATGCAAAATGTTTCTTTAGGACTGAGCTCACTCAGCCAAAGCTTTTACGTTTTTGATCATAAAAGCAGATCTTTCCCTGATACTAGATTTGGTCTTGTATCTTGAGGGACAAGTTTTGCCCTTAACTGTCTGCATACCACTCTGTTAACATCTGTGGATGTGTCACGTGCTTGCCCTCAGGAAGAATGTAGTGATTGATTATTTTTTTTAAGGCTATAATCTTTTTTTTTCCCAATTATAAATGGATTCTTGCTACTAATTAATTTGCAGTCTTTCATCTCTGTTTTGGACATCGTTAAGAATGTAGATACTGAGGGTGTGATTGTGGTAAATAAAGAAGCAGAAACTCATCTTTCAGTAAATTTCTTCTGGAAAGTTTTCCCTTAAATACTGTGCTGCCTGATTACTAGATCACTATTATTTTTTTCCCTTGAACTTTGTGTTACAAATCCAGGAAGGGCAAATGAGCAGAAATGGCCAAACCACATCCTTGACTTTCTGAAAATGATCTCCCTGAATCAACCATTGCTTCAGCTAGCCATGGGGTCAAGCTTTCATAGATCAACCTCACCTTCACACCCAACATGTCTCGATCCTGTGAACACTCTTGATTTTATTATCCTGAATTAATGACACTGCTTTTAAGTGAAGCAAGACTCGTGAGGTTCGTGAGACAGGCGCAAGTGAAACAGAAAAACATTCAAGTGCTTGTAGGTCATTCTTCAAGTTTGTAAGGCTTGTCCAGCCTTCCTAGCTCTGAGAGTTTACTAAAAATTATTGAGTTTCCCCTACAAATCTGTCCTGTATCCTCAGACTGTCACAGCTAAAACATTGTTACTGTTTCTGCACAGATTTCAATAAATTTAACACCTTTGGAGTAATTGGTCTCCTGCCTTGCCCAAGGTCCTTCACCAGCTAGGCATATGCTAGGAACAAAGCCTGGTTTTACAGGAGCTAACTCAGACCTTAATTCAATTTCCTTGTTGCTCTGTGCAGGTCCCTAGAGCTACAGGGTCCCTGGCTTGGTGTCAAGCCAATATACTTACATACTTTATTGCATCCGGGCAGGTTACTGACTGGGAAGCTAGGACACACTGTAACCTATATGTCTTCTGCTGGGTTGCTCAAGTGCCCTTCTGCCAAGCGAAGTCATTTAAGCAAAGTGGCTGATTCTTGTGAGGACCAGCTCAGCAGCCTGGCTGGGATGGCAATGTGGCCTCTGGAAGGGAAGGTTGTGCTCCAGATTGCTCTGGAGAAGTGTGGGGCTGGTTACGCAGACCTGGAGTACATGGCTCCAGCAGCCTGGCTGCTGGCATGGCAGGCTCTGTAGCACAGCTGAGCCTCCCCAGACCTTCTCAGGGGAGGGCCTTTGCTCTCCTCCTCACTTGCATAACAGCACAGAAGGGCAAGCAAGCAGAGCCGGCGTGAGAGTGGGGTAGGTGGCTGTGGAGGCGCTGCCTCTTGTCCAGGAAGGTGTCTGTGAAGGTCTTCATCTTTAGATGACAATCCCCATAGCAGTCTTGGACATGTTCTTACTTATCCAGACATCGAATCAATTGAGAGTGCATGGGTTTAGTGAGGAGAAGGGGGTGGGAGAGCTCTGCTTCCATATTCCCCCCCACACCAAACCTCTCACAAATATTCTCAAGTGTTGTTTAAGCCCCTTTCCTAACCTCACTCCCACTGAAATTCTCCACTGCTTCCTACCCAGACACCAACTCTTTAGCCCAGTGCCTCTTCAGTCCTCATCTCTTATGTCAAAGATGGGCTTGGAGGAAAAAGAGAAGTACATATGTGCTGTAAGTTTCATTGGCCCGGACACATCTAATCCCTTGACCATCAGATTTGCCTTTAACCAGCTAAAAGATACTATGTGTTGAAGTGAAGCAGAGTTACTTTCCTACACAACTGTGGTATGATAATTGTATGCAAAAAGTAGGGATATTTTCTTTCTTCAGAGGAAACTTCTTTGCAAATCTTTCTAATCTATTTACTTGCCAAGTGATTTGCCTTTCAGAGCTGAAACTCAGAATGTCAGAAGAGCAAAACTGTACCTCCAGAGCACCCCAAAGAAATGATCATTGTGAAAGCACGGGCACCTCTAAAGAGGCTGGGACACAGGAGGCCACAAGCATGGAACCAGCTCCCTCAGTAGAAGAAACCATGGACAGTGTATTGAGAAGATTAAAGGAGAAAAGGCAACACTTCAACCTTCCTGAGACTATTAAGGTATTTAACAAGTATGGCTGTTTCTTTCAGAACTTCATCATCTGAGGCAGATATTAGTGTGTAGCTGTTTCAGGGTATGCTGGCGCATGTGCATCCTGTATGTTCTGGCACTGCACTGCATTTTCTCTCTCACAAGATGGGAGCAATAGTGCAGTTTTCTGAAGTGACTTTTCTATGAGGAGTTGCACAGAAAAAGAGGTGCAGATTTTTTTTCCAAATAGTGCTAAGTGCATTTTGTTCAGAGATGCATGTATAAAGCTGTTTGCCAAGCAATGCTGAAACCTGCCTACTTGAGGCTGTGTGAGCAGGAAGTGCATGTTCCAGTGTGTTGAAGATGGTGACAGCAAAAGCAATCTTATCTTGAGTCCACAGAAACTGTGTAACTAAAAATGTTCCTGAAGTTATTTTGACAATAAAGGTCCCCTCTCGCCTGAGAAATGCTGAAAGCCTCTGCCTAGTTGATAGCACTGCACAAAGATCACACGGATAGCACAACCATCCAGACTGCTTTGCCCTTCTGATCTTGTACGTTTACTTGTGCTGACACTGCCTCTGCTCCTTCACGTTCTCAATTGCTCTGTTAAATGTAGGAGCAATATTCCATGAAACATGCTTGCTTGGCTGGGCAATTTATTTTTGCTTTTAAACTAGTACATATTTTAAAATTCTGCTGTACCTTCACACTGCTGGCAGATTATAGGGTCTGCCTAAAGCTGTTGTTCTGCAATACATATTGGCCATAAAAATACTTCTTTTTTGGCTATTTTTGCTGTCAGATGATGTTGTTATTCCTGATGCTATGCAGCCAAGCAAGACAATAAATTCTGTCCTCAAAGGTACCTAAAATCTAAATCTTGACAGTAACATTTAGACTCTGGCTAATGAACAAAAAACGAGAGGGGGGTGAAGGGGACAAGGAGGAGTGAAGAAGAATTAAATGCCAAACTATGTGAGAACTAAGAAATTATTCTGGGTGGATTTCAGTAGCAGAAAGTACTTAGCAGAGATAATATTTTGGTTTATTTTTCTTCTATTCTTGGTTCTCAAACAACTAGTTACTGTATAAAAACTAGAACCGTGAATAACAATGCTGTGCTTCTGAGATCTTGAGCTTCACATACATGACTGATTTTTTAATTGTTTCTTTTTATAAACTATTATTTTAAAACCTGAAATGGAAAAAGTGTTTCATAACCAGAACTCCTTTGTAAGAAAACAAAAAAATGACAACAAAACCACGCTGTTCTGTACTTAGTCCTAAAACCCAAACAGTGCAGACTGTATGATAATATTTTCAGTTGTTAAATATTTTTTTATGATGCAAGGAGTGAGATCAGATGACACCAAAACAGATGTCAGTGAGGAAATCTTGCCCAGAAAAACTCTCTTATAAGAGTAATTTGGGTGTGGGTCTCTGTCCCACTCATTTTTCAATTAATTGGACTTCTCCTGATTTTCCAAGAGAGAACCTCCTAGATCTGTGCAATGGCAGTGCTACCTTGAAATATTGTCACAGAAAATGCTGTACTGTAAATTAAATGTTTGCACAAATTAATATTTTCAGATTTTTTTTTTAAGATCTTATTTATTTTCTTCTTGTATTCTTGTAGAGAGAACTTGTGTTGAGAGAACTATCTGTTAGCAAATGTGTTTCATAATAGTTACACGAAACTGCTATGGAACAGAGGCTTCAAAAGGAATTATTATCCAAATTGATCAATTAAATCAAATTGATCTATTTCAGAATGACATCTTTTAGTAGGTCCTTAAGTATAACATTAAAAATTATTGGGTTTTGATTATGAGTCATCCTGGACTTTTAGGGGAGAATGAGGTTTATAGCACTGATGATGTGAAATGAATCAAGGATGTCTGCTGGTTACAGCAAAGATCAAAGTCTTCATTTCAGCTACATGCAACTTTGGTGTTACTGCAGATTTTTCTGATGTGCAACAATTTCTTTTGTGTCTAACATTTAGATCCTGTACCAGAATCTGAGCTAGATTAATAGTAAACTAATAGGAGCTAAATGTTTCTTTTTTTTTTTTTTTAAGATTTAGTTATTTTGGGCAAGGATAGGGTTTCCATAAAAGCCTGTTGAGTTCTTCCCTGAAGTTCAACTGTGGAAAGCCTCTATTTTTTGCTGAAATAAAATTGAGAGAATGCATTTCCTTGAGAGGTGCAGAGAAAAACCCTGAACCACCTAGATGTCTAAAGAGGACAAACCACAAGATCTGAATATGAAATAGCAGAATGTGGTTTTCAGAACAAAACACCCCTTCCACAAAAAAGTCTGTGAGTAAAGTTACTGACTGAGAAGATGTTGAGAAAATTGGGATTGGCCTGTGAATGATTCAGTAACCCAAAAAGGGATGGCCACCTGTTACTATTTGTGTCACTAGCTCTTTGTGCTGGGAGCTGGTGATTTAGTTAATAGTTCACCTCATTTTTAGGTACAGGCTTCAATATAAAAAAAAAAAAAAAAAAAAAGAAAGATTAAGACCATGAATGTAGGAGTTCAGGAGCCAAAAGGCAAACAGACATAATTTGAATCATATTACTCAAAAAATCACCAAATCCCTAAAACCGCAATCCAAAACCCAACTCCTGACTTTTAAGCCAATCCGAATGTTTAATGGCTAGGGATCTAGTGGCTGCCTTAGTCGCACCGAGGAGGAGCAGCAGCAGCCCCACAGTGCTCAGCTGTGGTTCACCAGCAAATGCGGCCTTTCACAGCGGGGCTAGTCAGACTTGGCCTGACCCTCAGCTGAAGTAAATGGGCATCATTCTATGGATGTGTCATGTCACTTCTTGCCTTCCTGTAAAATTTTTTGTACTATTTCTGTGTGAAGTGCTGCTTTGCAGTGACCATCACACCCGCCAAGGCAGGCTTGGTAGGCCCTAGGAACCTGGACACAGGGCCTGCATGGAGACAAGGTGCTGCCTCTGGGAGTGAGAGGCTTCCGCCAGGCCCAGCGCCCACTGTCACACTGCCTGTCCTCAGAGTTGGCACCTTCTGCCTGGACAAACCGCAAGCTCAAACGGCACGAGCGTTCAGTGCACTGACTAGGGAAGAAGTCAAGAGTATACGGTGCTTTGTGTACCTTTGTCCCAAGTTATGAAAACCAAACTACTACCTCGGCTCTATGTGTCGTCTCCTTTTCCTTTCTTTATATGCCACAAACAACTTTTGCCGTATGTGTAGTTTGAACACCTGCAGTCTGTCCCCCAAGGCTTTTTCCCTTTATGTATCTGTCCTCTCCTTATTGACCCACTTCCGTTCATCTTCTCCTTGGCTATGAGACAGCGTTTCTATTTAATTAGCATTGCACTTCATGCTGCTGTACACAGCCTACAGTCCTAAGCTGTCTCAGACAATTCTGTAGTTTGTGATTCCACCTGCCTTCTCTGATTTTGAAATTATTAGCCATTTCAAACTTAGCTGAATACAAACCTGTCTTGAGATTGCTAATAAAATGAGCTAATGAAATACGCCCAAATGCTAAACCCTCTTGAGATCGTTTCTCATGTGTAAAATCAATATTAATGATCACCCCCTGTTTCCTCCTAACCATTCAGTGGCTTCAGGCTTAATAGTTCTTGAAAGAATTAACCTCGTATTAATTGCAGGACTAGCAATAAATAAACAAATTAGCTACTTTATAATACTCCTGCATTCTAGTTAGCAGCTCTTCTCTTAATGTGAATGGCAGATAATTTTGGAGTGATTAACTCATGCAGACCTTTAAGGTAAAATGTGATTAGTGGTTCTGCACTGGTTTTGCATT